GTAGGCATCAACAATGGTGACTTCAGCTTCTTTGCCAATAGCGGGGAAGAAAAGATCAACACATGTTTTAGTCAAGTGCTAGCAAAGCACAACCCAAAAAATGTAATTATACACTAAAATCAACTATGGATAACATGGATTTTACAGTTCTATTTTAATTAATATATTGATTTCAATTCAAAATTCATTTTATTTTCGCATCCATTCTAACTGATTTTTTCTCTCTTTTCATTCCATTGTAATTTACAATTGTAAATTAATTTACTACCGAAGCCGAAGCCGAAAAAAACACCAAAGCCGAAGCCAAAGCCAGAGCCAAAGCCGGAGCCAGAGCAACCATCAAAGACTAAACGGAAACCCCGTGGACCAGCAAAAGAAATTCCACCAATCGATCCAGAATTCAAGGCAATTGTGGAAGGTCTTGATGAGGTCCATCGCTTTGATTGGCCTAGCAACAAAGATTTCGGTAATGGCCTCAAACATCTATGCAATCAATACATAGACAACAATGTCACCAATTCGCAAACACATTCGGATAAACACATAACCCAATATCTGAAGATGAAAGTGTTTCAGATGAACACAAATGAAGCCATTGAAGAGAAATACCTGCCAAGTGACATCGACTGTGTGGTGAAACTCATTCTCAAGGAAAAGGTATGTGGAAAATGTTTATTCAAATCATGAAAAGAACTGAGTTTTCAATGGTTCATATTGTTTAAGCGTACAATGGTTTTTTTTGACTCGTTGACAAATTTTTATAAACATGACTTTAATCTATTTCCCTTGTTTCATTGAAAAAGGTCATCAAAGTGCCAGCTAGTGACCCAAATAAACTTTATCGGTGCGGAGTTTTGTATGACATCGTCAATAAGTTGAATGTGTTCCCGGAAATCGACCTACATGATCTCACGACTAATTCAAAAAATTGGTTCAAAGCTGTGCCGATGTATCTATCTATGCAACGCGAGATAGAAGAATTTAATTTGCTGCGAGCACATCAAGAGCCACCGAAGAAACGCAAAAAGAGAAAGCGCAGAAGACCGAAGGGTAAGAAAAGAAAGTGGATCATCAAACGAAAACAAATGCTCGACGATTTGGAATATCTACCGTGCATTCGCAATTTGGTGGTTGTTCCAATGTGTGATTTTCGGCGTACGCACTTCAAAATCGACTCTTCGAGTATGTATCAGATCTTGTCTTCTCAAAAATTGATTCCGAAACAGTTAACTGAAGACGGAAAACCAAGTGGAAGAAATATTTCAGAAAAGGTTTACAACGAGAATAAAGATTACATATGGAATCAGTATTTTTATATGCGTAAAATTCGGTGGTTTGTCCGCCGCAAAAAGAAATTTGACTTTTCGATAAACAGCGATGGAATTGCTGTGTCTCTGCAGTATTCCACCAAAAAGAAGGAGACCAGCAACACACAATCGGGCACCAGTCGATTGGACATCATTGACATGTTGAAGGCGGGCAAATTCAAAAGATTGGGAGGTACAGATTCAGGCATGCGGAACTGGAATACCACAACAATACATGAAATTGATACTTGCAAAGAAGTATGTGTAGTATACTAAAATACAATGATGCACATTGTGTTTAAGTTCACTAATTATTTTTGTTTTTTTTTTTCGATTTATTCGCAGATCAACTTTGTTAAAAAGAGCAAGCAGTTCCATTAGGAGACACATCAAAATGTACGAAACGCAAAAGCGAAGCGATTCACGAAAAATTTCATCGAGAAAGAAAGACAAGATCGAGAGAATCGTGAGCTGTACGCAATGATGCCATCACCAAAAGGTTCACAGTGGCTGAGCTATATTAAGCATCGAGTTAAGATGACCAAACATGGAATCGAAGCTTACTCGACTGCAAAGTACACTAGACTCGCCTTGGACAAATACATTAGGAGCAACAAAGCTATCGACGGATTTGTGAACAAGATCACCAATAAGGAACCGACTCTGTTATTCCATGGTGCTGATGGCGAAGTACCACCTGATTGCCCGATAAGAATTAAAAAACACGTGCGGTGTCCGGGTGTACGCAAACTGATGCAGGCATATAAGAAGCGACCATACATTGTTGTCGTGCCGGTGGACGAATGGGGAACATCTCAAACAGACGCAAGATGTATGTGCCGATTCCAAAACCAACCCAAATCGGCCAAATTCAAGATGTGTCGGTGCATACCCAACGCCATAACACTGCTGCCAACCAAAATTGTGTCTAAGTTTGGCAAGACAGATACATCTACATATCGACAGTTACAACGCACATTGAACGGAGCATTTGAAATAGAAGAGGAGCTAATGTCAAGAGTAAAACCTTACTACAAAAAATGGCAATTAGACCTCGAATGCACCGTGACTTGGCATCGTGACGTCGTGGCTGCTAAGAACATTCTACTGAAAGGTAAGGATATTGATACACAATGTGATTGAATGATCGCAAAAAAAGATTCATTTTTTCGATTGATCAGGACTATGGACATTGCTTGGACTTCCAATACCTGCTGCAATCAATCGATATTGGAATCAAATCAACGCCGATGCCGCCGTCTTCGACGACGATAACGACGTGGACATATCCGAGCCCGAGTTCGAATAGCAGCCAACTAATCATCACAATACCATACAATAAAATAAAATAAATCATAAGTAACATTTGAATGGGGTAGAATAAAAACTACTTCTCGAAAAATTGGTATTTTAAAACGAAACCTAAAAAAAATTTCAATAAAAAGTGAATCAATTTTTTTTTGTCGATTTGAAGTGAATCAAGAAAATTTTGTTCAATAAAAGTGAACCAAAAAAAAAATTTCACTCGGTTGTTTCAGTGTAAAATACACTAAAATGAATTTTTTTTTGGGTTCACTTTTATTGAACAAATTTTTTTTGGTTCACTTCAATTGGACAAAAAAAAATTGATTCACTTTTCATTGAAAGTTTTTTTTAGGTTTCGTGTTTAAACATTTTTCGGGAAGTAGTTTTTATTCTACCCCATTCATTTGTTACGTAACTGCTATCCCGAATATGTGGGTTAGTTACGCACAAAAAAAGTCATTTCCCATTTGGTTGAGATGGCTGTGCGGGAGTACAAACAGAGCGTTTTTCCATTGTAAGTATCATTAGATTTTGAAAACAGTTTTTTGCTTCGGGAAGTGCTAACATCAATCGCTTCGTTGTACAAATGCCATCAACTAACATAGAATTTTGCCTACTTTAAATTAATAAATACCATTTTTCTATTTACAGATATGGGAAACACCCTACTGTACACTCCAATCGAGCAATCTCTCTTCTCAATAACTTTGGACCTTTAATCCATGGTCTGAGTTTCGACACAAACAGGGGCCAGGAACCTAATGAAAACATATTTAAATCAATACTGAAAAACTGTTGTAAAACATTGAAACATTTAGAAATTATTAATTGCGTTGCGGATTTCGAGCATATACAATTTGATATGTTGGAAACTCTGGTTGTGTATAATTCAACGGTGAAAAACTTCAATTTTGGTTCACCACTTAAACGCTTTCATTTAGTACATTCGAAGCAAGAAATCTGGTTTATGCGAAAATTTCCGGAATTGGGACATATTTTTTTTAGTAGTAAGGTAATAACCGACAGTGTGATTGGGGAATTTGTACTATTAAATCCACAGTTGAAAGTTTTAAATTTGAGATGTTGTGAAAATTTGTCGCCATTGATTTTAAAATACATTGCAAATTGTTGTTCAAACCTCGTCGAATTGGATTTCTATTTTATGATACCAAAAATAAAAGATTATGAGAAAATAATGCACCTGGGTTCGTTGCGAAGCTTGAAAAAACTCGGTATAAAATTACAAAAAAATATTTTAATTAATCAATTAATCAATATGTTTGTTGAAAATAATATACCGATAGAAGAATTGTATATATCTTTGGAGAAGCCAAAGAATGACAACCGTCATTCATACAAAAACTTGAAAACCTTAACCACACTCAAACGTTTAGAATTGACGATACAAAATGGTCGAAAATGGGCTTTTGGCAAAACAGTCAAAAATATAGTTAAATCTCAAACTGCTTTGAAAATTTTACATGTCTGTGGATCGATTCATGGAACTCTATCAATATTAGAAGTTGAAAGTATTTTAAAATACGGTAAAAAACTTTCAGATCTTAAATTAGATGTATATGAATTAACTGACAATTTGGAATCTTATCAAAGATTCAAGATCTCAAATTTTTTTAGATATTGTAAAATATTTCCTATTATTATGTACGTAGTTTATAAAGAAAAATGCTCTATATCAATGTAAAGAACCATAATCAGAAAGAAATTATTACAATGGTTGCAAACAAAAAAAAAACAGATGTAAACATTTATTCGTTTATTTGATTTATGTCTCAATAAAATTGTTGTTTTCTTTAAATTGTACGAGTAATAAATTACATATTCGTTATTTTTCAATTCCAAAAATATAAACTCAACAGATTGAAAAAAAGAAATTATGATATATATTGTTTAATTCTGTCTAACATTCGAATTCATGTACCACAATCTCTTGATTGATAAAATAAAATATAACCAGTTTCGGATGATTTTTGGATATCTGATGTTAGCCCATAAAAGTCTTCAATCGCTGACGCATCAATTTTATCTACCATATCGTCATCAAACAGTAACCAAAAACCATGACTCTTAACAATACTAATGTAGTGACCACGATTCGGTCCAGAACCGCAATGTATAACAACAGCCATTAGATCGTACAATCGATCCGGATTCACAGCATCGTCGGACTATAAATGCGAGAGGAGAAAAAATATGTAAGAATATATTCAAAGAAAATATCTATTGCAATCTTACCGTATTAAATAGTCGTAACTCTAGCGGGAACACAACTCGATGCGATACTTTAATGTGTCTATTATATTGCTCCATATACTTGAAACGTTTTAAATGCAGTGATAGAATCATTGGCAACTTTTTGACACGCATTCGCTTTTGAGCTTCTTGATAATTGCAACAGTTATCGCATTTAAATTTATTATCACTGCACAATGTTTCTGTGTTACTAAAACAACGTAAACAATGCGTTATGCTAGTATTTTGATCGACGTCGACTTGTAGATCAAAAAAGTGTGCATCTTTGCTGCTGACTGTTTCACAGTTTAAGCAACGCGTTTCACTTGTGAGCGTCCCCTAATTGAACAAAAAAATACACTTTAATTTAACAATTTCTTTTGTTTAAATCGAATGATTTCCTTTTTTTTTGTACCTGGAATATTTCGTGCACCCATGTTGGCTCCTGAGGTTGACCGTTTGCTGAACCATTGCAATCAGCACCATTGCTCGAACAGTTACCGCCAACAAAATTTGCTCTAACACTAGCAAAATGTGAACTAGACGATGACGACGATGATGAAGATGCATTTGCATTTTTTTGTCCCCGTTCCGCCAAAATAATCTCGTTGATGTGATTGATTAGAAAATTTAAAAATTCATGGGCATCTTGTTGCATATAATTATCAAACTCTTCCTTTTCCTTTCGTAAACGTGCTATAAACTTTTTCGGTGCTATTGAACCAACTTTTTTCTTTTGTGTAGCTATGCTGTAGAATAAATCGGCTAAACATGACAGTAGTGTTTCTTTGGTTCGTTTATTTTTTGCTTTATATTCAAGCACTTTTTCTCGAAACGGTTTACAAAAGTATAATGCCTGCAGCACTGAATTACTGTAGCATGTGTTACCAAACTGTTATCAGATTAAAAACAAAAAATAGATAAAAAAAGGTGACATTTAATGTAAATATAAAGAGATTTGTATCAATTAAAACGTAACTTACATTGACAAGCCCAAAATAATGTTCGTTTGGTGGAAATTGGTCGGATCCAATATCTCGTTCAAGTTGCGATATGTTCGTACCCTGTAAACAATGCAGAGAGTTTAATTGAAATGCACATTGTCAAAAATTTAATTCACACGATTTTTTTTACCATCACGTGAAATTTTTGCTTCTAAATGGCACACAAATCGCAAACACAAATATCAACAAATACGCAACAACACTTGCGATTTGTATTTTATTTTCTTATTTTGCTCCAAAATTTATACGATTTTTTTTTTCGAAGTAACTTTTCAATAACCAAACAATTTTATGTATTTAGTTTGCACTTTTGTAGTGAACGACACTACAATTTTGACACTGGTGAAAGTGCTTAATGCAGCAAAATATCCATAGTCGAAAAATTGGAAGCAAGAATATTTCTCATTGGTCTTTTTTCTTCGTTTGAATAATTTCGCATTTATCAATAATACGGACTATGGATAATGTCAAACAAAAATACAATGTTTTCACTTCGAGCCCTTTGAGCTACTTCGAACATTTGTAGATGTGTGCATGTATGTCTTTGTGTGTGTATACATTACTATAGTAATGTGTGTATGCATAAACCTTCTTCTGTCTATATTTATTCTCGTTCATCAATGAATTTATCAATGAAGTCGTCCGAAGAGTGTGGAATAAAATTAATAAAAAATTTCCTAAAATGTGTGATGAATTTTCATGAAAAATTTGTATGTTATCACATTTCCAAAATCTAGAAATAACATTAGTAATTTGCATGTGTTGGCTTGTTCGTTGTTGATTTTTAAAATATTCACGTCAAATTATGCGAATTTCGAAATTCGAAATTCGAATTACGAATTGGTGATGTTTGACATTTCGTTGAGTGTACAAACCCAGACTTTTGACAGATTTTAAATCAAATCAAATGATAGCAAAGTTCAAAGAATCTGTAGAATGGAAATACTTGTAAATAAACATAGAACCCTTTTTTGCAGTAACATTTAGTTCATTTTTTCTCCCTCTCTCTCTGTTTTTGTAAATTATTATCAATTGTGTTTCTTTCATCGTATAAAAATAAATTAAAAATATTTTCAAATTAATTGTTATCATTGTGATCGCGTTTTTTTAAATCATCGAATGTGCATTTTGTTCGGTCATTCACTTTCATTGTATGATCATGATGCCTCTTTCAATAAGATTGTTATCAAAACGTGTCAAATCTATGTCCAAAATTAAATTGATTTCACATTAAATCTGGTGTTGTCAGGTGATTAACATCTAAAAACAGATCATCATTGTCTCAATCAAATCGACTTAAATGAAACAGCTGTTAGACAACGATACCTGTGCTCAACATTTTTTAGATATAAATTTATATTCTTGAGTTTCCAACAATTGAGTTTATCTTTAAAAAAAATATATTTTCGAATTTTGAGCTAATTTTTAATCTACGCAAAATATCAATTGGTAATCACCAACATTTGTTGTGGAAGAAGTGAACATAAACCTATACACATATAAATTGTGAATTTGATAATAAACCATTCACCAAGTAATCAATGATTGTATAGATTTTGCTTTGTCATAATAAAATGACAAAAATTTGGAGTTGATAATATTTTCTGAAAGTTTCTGTTCCTCTTATAAATGGATATGTCTTCTGATGGTAATTAATCATATGGTGTAGAGTATCAAGTCGCGTGTAATTTAATTGCAAAGGGTTTTAATTTTTTAGACGAAAGCCAACGGCTTACGAAAATGAATAAGATCACCATAGAAAATTCTTCGTGCAATCCTCCAGCTGTGGCAAATGAAACACAGCATCTGAGGTAAGTCAATTTCAGATTATATTCAGTCTACGTGTATTAATGTAGTAGTCAATATGTGATTCAATTCAGTTATGAGCGCAACAACGCCCCTTTCATCGATATTATTAAACAGTTTGTGTACATGTAGTAATCTAGGGAAAAAAATCATTCAGTTTTCATTCAATGACGATCATTAACATGTTACACCTTGCGCGTACGTACGCGTTGTGAAAAAAAAATGAATAAAATTTACCACATAAGCGCACCGAGTACTTGAATTAAGAGCTGAAACATGCTAATACAATAACAAAAAACAAAACAAAACAAAACAAAAAAAAACTACTGCTGTATATTATTTACTCTAACTTTGTTTACTATACATGTGAAAATATACTTTCACTAAGATTTTATTGGTTTGAATAGCCGACAGTGGAATTTGTGACTTTCTAAATTTGATTGTTTTTATTTCGATGATTGGTACCAAATTTAAATCCATACGATCAAGATATATGGTGCAAATTTTGTTCTCATTGTTTGACCTCGAACGATCAATATTATTAGACAGAAACTTCATTTAATTTTGAGTTAGTATTGAGCTAAGTATGTTTTTGTATAATATTAATGGTATTGCGGTAAAAAAAATACTACAATATATTGCATGTGTCTTATGGCTGTTTTTGTACATGTACGCTGGAAGTGGCTTTCATTCACACGATAGTTGTTATTTTGAATACAATTAAATCACGATCTCAACCAGTGACAAAAGGACGGAGTTTTTTAAAAATATAGATAGAAATACAATCGAAAACATTTTCAACGAAAAATCAAACTGGTTTTGGAATCAGATAGTTTGTGCAATCTCGAGAAAAACCGTGGGTTATATTTTTCAGTGGTTCATTTTCCAATACTTTCGCACGTTTAAGAATTTTCTTATACGATTCAAAAAAATTATCATGTACCACATAGTGGTTAAAAAAATATTTAGTAATTTTTAGTAGTGGTTAATATGTAAAATGTAGCAGTATAATACGATCAAGTAATTTGAATGGACTCATATAAAAAATACAAACATAGTTCGCCTACGCACAAAGTGTAAATAAAAAAAAACTTTATGGTTTAAAATGGAAATGAAATTTTCATGCTGATAATTTTCTCTTCAAAGAAAATTTAGTATTATTATGGATTTTTGTGTAGGAAGTCATTTTTTAAACTCAGTGAAACGTATTCATTTCATATTTCACCTTATGTTTCAATAAAACAGTTTCATTGATAGATATTTCTTGGATTAAAAACCATAAAAACAACAACTTTATCATTTTGAATGTATATCGTGATTTTAATTAATATTTCAACATTCTAGTGATTCGAATGTAATGCATATGAACCATTGCGGCAAAAAGATTGCTCTTATTTTGCTCCAAATACTACTGCAACTTCAAGTTGCTTATAGATAGTTATTTTTTGCAATACATAATTAAGCTATTTCGTCGCCGCAACGATTTTTATGTGTGTGAGTAGTGCAAAAAAGTCTGTTTTTGTATTTTGTAAAAAATTGTATTAAAAATATACATAACTTAAGTGTTTAGATTTGAGGTTATTTATCATATAAGTTAATCGCTCAAATCTCGTTTAGTCCAATAGTTTCGGTTACATGTAAAGGTCAAAAAGACACGTACGCTTGATGAAAACATAGCATTTAGCTATCATTACCTGTAGCCTGTTGTAGCTCTCAGTTGTTCGGCACAATATTTTATCAAAACTCATGTACCTGCACATAACAAATCCACTTTTTTGGAGCAATCATACTATACTATAGGGTATTCAAATATATGTAAATTGTCAATTTTATTTTATCAACAATATGTAATAACTAAATGATTTCTTTCTGTTGTGATAATTTTTCATTTACAAAATAAAAATTCCGATCAAAATACGAATGCTTTTAATCAGATATATTTCTTATCTATCTGAGTATTTCTCTTCACCTCGTTTTCTTCGCCAACAATAAAATGACACAAGTCGTATATTCTGTTCGGTTTTTATTTGGAGCAACTGGACATAAAAAAATGTTTCGATTTCACTTGAATAGTCAATGACAAGAAAGAAACAACGACGTATTATGAGTGCAATAAAGTTTTGAGCTATTTTTCTTTTTTTTTTCTTCTCTCGAATGATTTAAAACTTTTCATATTGAACACAAATAAAGATATAGAGTCGAAGTACACGCTACGCAATCGACTTTATAAATTGTACTTCGTATCTTTAAACTAATATTGAATGGTATTTTGAGTTGAATTGAATTGTATCAATCATTGTCTTCATATTAAATCGTACATTTTCTTTGTGTTTTTATATTTTTGTTTAAACTGTCGATTGAGTGTGATCATAAACACCGCTTAATGCATTTGAAGAAAATTTTTACCGAATATAATTTTTTTCATTTTTTTTTCTCTTTGCTTTTCTTTAGTAAAATGGAAGAACGTCAAAGTTTATTAGAACAAACGGCTGCATCAGTACGATTACCGATCAGTGGTATGACTAAGGGGCAATTCACTTAAAAATTGCCTTTCTATTATTAATTAATTCTTGTTGATTCTTTTTCGATTAATTGTCGATTATTTTAAATTAATTGAATTCTTTTCTTTTGTGATCCTCCCCTTAGGTATGACATGTCAGTCGTGTGTTCGTAACATTGAAGGAAATATTCGGACAAAGCCCGGAGTAATTACGATCAGAGTAAATCTTCAGGAAAAAGCTGGTTACATTGAGTACGATCCACAAATTACCGATCCCAAACAAATTGCATCGGAAATCGATGATATGGGCTTCGATTGTGAATATTCACCAGATGATGATGATGAAATTGCAGCCAGAGTTGTAGAAATAAACAAAACAAAAGTGCTTAGCACTTGTATTGCAATCGAAGGCATGAAATGTCAAAGTTGTGTCAAAAACATAGAAAGCAACATTGGGTCAAAATTAGGAATTAAACACATCAAAGTAAATCTAGAAGAAAAAATCGCCAACGTTGAATATGACAGTGATGTATGCAATGATCAATCCATAGCTGAAATGATTGTTGATATGGGATTCACAGCCACTCTTACTACAGATATTGACAAGAAACCCAAAAAGACTGACTTATTTTGCAGCAAAAATGGTAAAAAAAAGAATTTGATCACAAAAATATTTGTCAATAAAAATAAGAACATGCTCAGGTTCAATCTGTTGTCTTTTTTCAGATTTTAACGGTCGAAAATCAGTTTCAGAAACGTTAGTCTTCTTAGGCACAAACGATGTTGACTTAGAAAATAATCGCACCAATTTGCTTGATAACAACTTGAAAAAATGTTTTCTTCACATACAGGGAATGACATGTGCCAGTTGTGTAGCTGCAATTGAAAAGCACTGTAAGAAAATTCATGGTGTCGATAGTATTTTGGTTGCTTTATTAGCTGCCAGCGCTGAAGTGAAATACAATCCAAACGAGATTTCAGCAAAAGATATAGCCAAATCAATAACGGAATTGGGATTTCCGTCTGAAATAATCGACGAACCGGGTACCGGGGAGAGTAGTATTGAAGTGGAAATAAATGGCATGACTTGTGCGTCATGTGTGAATAAAATTGAAAGTACAGTTAAAAAGTTGCCAGGTGTAACATACGCCGCTGTAGCACTAACAACGAAACGTGGAAAATTTCGATTTTCGGAAACGGGAGCAAGAAATATATGTGATGCAATCAATGCATTGGGTTTTGAAGCAAAATTACTTTCAAATAAAGATAAAATGGCTCACAGCTACTTGGAGCACAAAGAAGAAATACAAAAGTGGAGAAATGCATTTTTCATTTCGCTGGTTTTCGGGGGTCCATGCATGATTGCAATGGTCTATTTTATGTATGAAATGGCAGAAAAAGGACATGAAAATATGTGTTGTACAATTTTACCGGGTTTATCTTTGGAAAATCTTATGATGTTCGCATTATCGACTCCAGTACAATTTTTTGGTGGTTGGCATTTTTATGTACAGGCCTATAAAGCTGTTAAACATGGTTCAACAAATATGGATGTTTTAATTACAATGGCCACGATTATAAGTTATTTGTATTCAGTAATTGTTCTGGCTTGGGCAATGATATTTCAGCACAAACTATCACCCATCACATTTTTCGACACACCGCCGATGTTACTTATTTTCATATCATTGGGTCGTTGGCTCGAACACATTGCCAAAGGAAAAACATCAGAGGCCCTATCAAAACTTTTATCACTTAAAGCGATTGATGCAATTTTGGTCACAATTTCAGATACATTTGAAATTTTAACGGAAAAAACGATTTCAGTGGATTATGTTCAACGTGGTGATATTTTGAAAGTAATGCCTGGTGAGTAATTATTTTCTTTGTAATAACAGAACAACACATATTTTTTTTACATTAAAAAAAATCGATTTTCAACTTTATTTTTATTAGGAAGCAAAGTACCCGTCGATGGTAAAGTTATTTTTGGTTATTCCACGTGTGATGAAAGTTTGATTACCGGTGAATCGATGCCAGTGCATAAGAAAAAAGGATCTGTTTTAATCGGTGGTTCAGTTAATCAAAACGGACTGATTTTAATGGTTGCTACGCACACAGGTGAAAATACAACGCTCGCACAAATCGTTAAACTTGTCGAAGAAGCACAAACATCAAAAGCACCAATTCAGCAACTAGCTGATAAAATTGCCGGTTATTTTGTACCATTTGTAATAAGCGTTTCATTAATAACATTATTTGCTTGGATTATTCTTGGATGGCTTGACATAAAACATTTACCAATGACAATGGCTGAACAGCATGGTTTAGATAACATTGAAATAATTGTTAGTTATGCTTTTCGATGTGCAATAAGCGTTTTGGCCATTGCTTGCCCGTGCGCTTTGGGTTTGGCCACACCAACCGCAGTTATGGTTGCCACCGGAGTTGGTGCACTTCATGGAGTTTTAGTTAAAGGTGCTGGTCCACTTGAAAACGCACATAAAGTCAAAGTGTGCGTTTTTGATAAAACTGGTACAATAACACATGGCATTCCAATGGTATCTCGGATTCATTCTATTATTAATTAATTCTAATTGATTCTTTTTTGATTATTCGTTCTTTTCTTTTGTGATTCTTCCGTTAGGTATCTCGCATTACCATGTTTGTGAAGCCAACAATTTGTTCATTGCCACGTGTTCTCGTTGCACTGGGTGCTGCCGAATCAAATAGTGAACATCCAATCGCAAGCGCCGTTGTGAAAATGTGCAAAGAAATGCTCGAAATAGATTTGTTTGGTCGTAGTAGCGATTTTCAATCCGTTCCAGGATGTGGCATTAAAGTAACGATTTCAAACATCGAAAATATACTGAAAACTGCTGAAAAAACCGATAAAATTATCAACTATTATAATTCATACAATGGAAGTGCTCAGAACAGTATAATAATGGTTGATGGAATTTCATTTGAAGAAGTTATCCCACCATTGAATCAATCACAGAAAAACACAATAGAATTACAACAATTGTTACAGTTGGATGAAGAAATTTCCAGAGCTAAGAGAGAGGCATTCGATGATGTGGTGAGTCTAATAGATATAAATATCTCATATCTAAAACATAAAAATGAAAAATATATTCTCTCTTTCAGAATGAATTGCCAGTGCTTATTGGAAACCGCGAATGGATGCATCGCAATGGAATTTTGGTGCCGCCGGAAGTACATATGAAAATGAGTGACGAAGAATCGATGGGCAATACTGTAGTACTTTGTGCAATGAATAATCAACTAATTTGTATGGTGTCTGTTTCTGATATGGTAAAACCAGAAGCCCATCTTGCAGTTTTTACACTTCGAAAAATGGGAATTGAAGTTATTTTGCTAACTGGTGATAATAAGAACACAGCTGCAAGTATAGCTCGACAAGTTGGTATCAAACGTGTATTTGCTGAAGTGCTTCCATCGCATAAAGTGGCCAAGATACAACGCATACAAGAGACAGGTGTAAGAGTTGCAATGGTTGGCGACGGTGTCAATGATAGTCCTGCTTTGGCGCAAGCTGATGTTGGTATTGCCATTGCTGCCGGAACAGATGTTGCCGCTGAAGCGGCTGATGTGGTCTTAATGAGGGTAATACCAAAATGTTGCTCAATTTTATTGTTATATCTGTTATCCCTTCCATTCATTACATATTTAGAATGACTTATTGGATGTCGTAGCATGTTTGGATCTATCAAAACGAACGGTGCGTCGGATAAGATTGAATTTTTTCTTCGCCAGTATGTACAATTTATTGGGGATTCCATTAGCGGCGGGTGCTTTCAGTCATTTTGGTTTGGTACTGCAGCCCTGGATGGCATCGGCAGCAATGGCTGCCAGTTCTGTGTCAGTTGTATGTTCATCGCTACTATTAAAATTGTATAAAAAGCCAACAATGGCTTCGCTTCAAACACCAGAATATCTCAGGGAGTTGCATTTAGGTGGATCACTTGATTTGGATAATATTTCAATACACCGCGGTCCAGACGATATTCCACGGCCCAACTTCAACAACTCAAATAGTTCAACCCTTTCAAAGTAAGTACATGGTGGTTCTCATTGCGTTTTTGTCCCAGTATTTGATTCAGTGTACTATCAAATTCCTCACTTATTTTAATTCTTACAATAATTTTGTATTTTACTTTATTTAAATTTTACGGGTATTATTTTGAATTATTGATCTTTATTTGTTGCTTTTACTTTGGTTAAATTTTTTATTTTATTTATTTTTCTTTTCAAATTTTTCAATTAGTTTTTTGCGCACTCCAAACACAAATTGCTAACTAACAAACTAATTCGCACATTTGGAATTGAATACCAATGGCACAACAACTGGATAACTTCATTTAACGTACTCTCCTTTAATGAAAATACATCATAAGCTAACTTGGTTACTAATAAACATACGCTTTTTGTTAATTCTTTAACTTTTAATGCACTAACCGTCACGAAAAAACAAATTGTTCATAAAAAACGGTAAATTTAAGTCATAATTTAAAAAGTAACAACATATCGCTATTGTATTACATCACCATGTATTGAGAACATAGACAATTTATGTCCCATTTTGAATGAGATAGAATGATATATTTTCCATCAATATTTGCTATCAATGCGTTGAAATATGAAATTCATCTTTTTTATCAGATTGAAAACTGAATTGGGAATTGGTGTCTGAAGGTAAGCTTCTTCATCATAATCATCTCGAACATATTCTCATTCAGTTCAAAATTTTAATTCATGCAAAATAGTCCAGAATAAGAGAAAGGGAAAGAAGATGCGTTCAATTCATATAGAAAATGTTGTCGTTCGTCTGTAGTCAGTGGCTAACATAAGCTTTGTCAACTCTGAAAAAAAAAAAACAATTGCTACGATAAATATTACTTTTGGGGAATATTCAATCTAACTGTATATAAAAATATTTTGCTACTTGCAATTAATACATACAAGAAAATTTTCTCATAAAATACATTAATAATGTTAACATCTTTTTATCTAATTTTCTTTTTCGCACAAAATTTTTTGACGATTAGATTGTTTATGTCTTCAAAGAATGGTTTACATCAATCACCATTGCTGACCAATGATGATGAAGATTCGTCGACAACTGTCCCACTCACCAGATATGAATATGGAAAACAATTGCACCATGATATTACTGAAACTCAAAAGCTTTGATAGTTTAGACAAACTCATCACATCAAATTAAATATATATTTCAAAGTTTTCCATAACATACATCCATATATAGATATATGGTTTGATTGTTTGGTAATATTGATATTAAATGTCTTCAATATGATGCCAATTTTTAAAAAAAATGATTTTTTTTTAATTTAATGATATGATTTTATTTCAATCCTGTTATTTTCAATAAGAAATATTTTTGAATATCATGAAACACAAAATTGTAGATAAATACATTTTGAAGTGACTTATGATCCCGTTTATATGTGAAATTGTGATAAAGCAAATGTGAATAAATAATTGAACACATTTAATCATTTTTATTTCATTTGATTTCATTATTTTACAAATCTTATAGTTAAAAACCGAGATCCGAATGATCGGAATGACTAAAACATTTCGAAAATGGCTGGGACATGGCATTAGCTATTTTTCCTTGTGAATATATATGGATGCTCTGCAGTTGGACACTTGAATTCAGTAAACTCTATAAACAATAACAATTTTCCAAACTTCTATATAAAAAATAAATAAATAATAAAATGTTATTACCTTTTTTCCAATTAGTTGATTTATTACCTAGAGTGACCCGAAAAAAAAGCAATTATATAGGAGTTTGGTAAATAATAATAGAAAAAATTGTTACCGTATGGTTCAAACATATTATTCCACAGTGAATTGGCAGCGATGGCGTAGCCTTTTTGACTTAAATGAAAACAATCCACGGACATATATTTAAAATCGTGGTTCCCGTTAGAAACGTGTGGGAATCGCACATGTCGCAAAAATGGTTGATTAATCACAGCAAAGTCGTCTTTATTTGTGAATTCTTCCAAATCTGGCACTTCAGCTGTCACGGCTTGCCATTTGGTAATAATATTGAAATATAATTGACGCAAATGACCGTACTTAAAACCAAATATACAAGGGCACTCAAAATGATTAGATGACACACATTCCTTTGGTTTTCCACGCAATTGGTATATCACTTTCATACCTGCAAAGAATATCGAAATAGCAACTATTACAATTTGTTAAATAACTAAAACACAAGATTTCTCTTGCAAGCATATAAGCTTATAACTTACTCGGCGGCGTCACTAAATTAACAATTGTACGTGGAAGATTATCTCTCAATATACGTAATGTTTCGATCAATTCTCTGCGATGATTCTCTACTGATTTTTCCGGATAGGGCAAGTAGCAAAAGTCCGAACAGAAATCGTTCGGTCCGATTAAAATAGTTACTAATTTCCAATGACGTTGTACATCAACATTTTGGTCGCTTCGCATCCGCTTTACTAAGATTCTCGCCTCATAGGGGATATCTCTCGACATTGCACCAATTTCTGCGACATTAAATCTTTCGCAAAAAAAAAATTCACAATTGAAAATGAATTTTTTGGAATGTTGTTTCGACGACCAGAGCCAGTAATGATAATTATTAAGATAGGAAATGAAATTTGATTTACCTTGCAGATTTATCAATAGAAAACCCATCCTGGGTCGAATAACCGTACAAATTTTTATTGAACTCCTGCAAATAAATGAATGGAACGAATCAAACTACCAAACTAAATGTGATGCTAATTACCTTCAATATATTTGGCAGCTGTAATAAAAAAAAAATAAAAAAAAGTTGACTCTACCGTTATGATCTTGGTTATGATACAAAAAAAAATGTCTTACCGTTAAAAACTTCCTCCAGTCCCCTTGTCCGCCTGAAATATCAAATATATGTAAATTAATTAAAATAAATTAATCATAAATGATTATAGCATGTGCCATTTGAATGTTGTCTCTCAACATCAATAATGTATACAAAATACGACGACTACCAATTGACCATGAGACCCCTTTGTTTTCAATCTGTAATTGACAAAATATAAAAAGAAAAAGATGAAACCATAAATTGATTTAGAATTAAAACTATAAATCAAATTACAAAAACTTGTAAAATATTTGTCGCAAACGCTCCGTTGCCGGCGGTTAATGAATCACCAATTGCACCAACAATATCAATGTCACCGGGCCGAACAGTATGCGCTGATATTGGTGTAACGTTGCTTCTTGCGCCAGGCCCATTTGGATTGCATGGAAAGCTAACGGTTTGCGAATATGATTTTTGAACTTTCTTAATGTGAAACAAATGGAAGAGAAACATCAAAGAGATCATTGCATTTTACCAAATAGTGATGACGTAATAATATACCTGTCTTTTTACATTCCAAAGATATGCTGCTTCAGTATCAGAGCGGCCAACGAACTTGAAAATTCCCCCTCGAAACGATCTGTATTCATTGATAAATTTGTCGAAAAATGTTCGCTGTGCAGACACCGTGCTAATTTTGCTAACGATCATTAAACCAATTATATAAGCCCATATTGTGATGAGTCGCTTAAACGACACCTTCATTATGCTCTCTTTTTTTGTATATATAAATTCAAAGCGATATACACTTTTTAGTTTTTATCGACGAAATATTTTACTACCGCACGAACACACACCCTATTATAATGCAACTAACGCATCATTTTAATAATTAAATCTGTAATTGACAAAATAGAAAAAGAAAAGGATGAAACCATTAATTGATTTAGAATGAAAACTTTAAATCAATCAATAAATTATTCAGTGAGATCACTATAAAAATCTTAAGCATTTAACTAAGTGGGGAAATTTTTGTGTCAGAAATTTTACTGACATGCCCTTGGCAAATGCACACAACAGTCTATAATTAATAATTTATATCCACTGAAAATAAGAATGTTTTCCATATCGAATGCTATTATCAAATCAGTCTCATCACATCTTTTCAATGTGATGTGCGTATGTTCATAAATAACCTTATCGATTTTCAACTCGTTTTTTAATTCGATGAATTTGCTGTGATTGATCCTAATATTATATTTACATTGCATAAAACAATTAAATGTATTCAAATGAAATGATAAGCGAAATGTTTTGATGAAAGAATTGTGACGCCATATGACTAGTAGTAGTACAGGAAAATTTGATATAATCAAAATATTATTCCGTTATTTATAAGTTTAGATTCGATGTTTGTTGGCATTTCAAATGGTATGCTTGATTCTTACTTAGAATCTTACTTGACTTGCGGCCTGACAAGGTCACGCATGATATCAGATGAAAACAAGAGGAAGAAGTTACGAAACACACACACATTTGGCATTAAGTCAATGCCAACATGTTAATAACTGAATAATTATTGAAATCGCGTGCGGGCAGCTATCAAAGCATGCATAAAATGATCTAATTTGAAACCTTCCGCAAATTTTTGTAATAATTCGAATATAATTTGTGTTTCAGGTTTTGAACATGTATAAAATTATGTAAAATCATGTGTTAATCAATTTTTTTTTTGGATTTTCTATACACGGAATAACTCACTGGGAACCGACTTTAATCAAATCATAAGCACACTGAGGCGTTGTTTTATCGAAACCGTAGGTTTCGTTTTCATAAGAATCAGCGTACACAATGATTTCAATCTTCACATATCACATCTGAATTGAAGAAGAAAAAGAAATATGTAGACCTGTTTGGCGTTCGAAAATGTACACAACGGATGAAAGCGAAGATGAAGACTACCTTATGCAGTATGTATCGGACAATGATATGTACAATTTTTTATGCACTTTGCACGATCTCAAGTTCAAGGTTGCAATATATTGCTGAACATTTGCTCACATTCGGAATGCCATTTATAATCTATGTTGAATTTTTCACTTTTAGTTTTTTTTTTTATTTCGTTCGTTGTTTACATTTTTCACCGCATGAAGACTCAGTCGAGTATAGTTTTTATTCACATTTTTTCACATAGTTTAAAACTGTTATTATTATTATTATTATTATTATTATTATTATTATTATTAATATTATTAATATAGAATAACATTTCAAGTTCAAAATAATCGGTTGCAGATTTAACTGAATAGAATAGTACAATTAGTTGCATTCATTTCAATGAATAATTGATCAATTCAATGTGGGTTTTTTTATTTACGTTATTTACAGTTGAGTTCAACCTTTTTACACTAATTGTTGTATTTATTTGCAGAATTCTTTAACAGTAGAATTTTTAGAACTTTTCGCTATGAGAGAGATAATGCGAGAGATAATCATAGTCAGAGCGTAGGAATACACGCGTGCTGTGTCCCAAACACTCTAACTAAATGAAATATAGTTGTGGCACAATCGTGTTATTCTATCGGACGGAGAGTCAGGTATCGTATACTTTAAATGAAACAATCGATCAGAACTAATTCACCTTCAGTTTCGGCAACAGCGGTAATTTTTATTATCGCATACAACTTGCTGTGTACCATAATCGTTTGCATTGAAAATGGGGGGAATTATTATTTGACCTGTGCCGCATCATGTGTACAAATAATACATTAAATCAAAACAGATAGTCGATTTTAATTATCAAATTCACATGTAAAAGTGCATTGAAGTGCATCGAATTCACTTATACATGATAATAATCAGCTATGTATTCTTTCTAAATAATTTGGGGTCGATATGCCTTGATTATCTAGTTCGATTACACCGTACCGTGTATTTTATCCTTCCGGCATCAATATAATAAAATGTGCAAAGCAATTCACCTGAAACTTTGTCATTGAATTTCAATCGTTACACGTTCATCCATACTTTAATAGAGTTTATTTTACACGATGCGCCCCGCCATTAGTATATACAACTGGATTGGAAATTATGAATGAACACGTTCTTTGAAAAGAGATTTAGCGAAAAGCATTAGAGCAAATGAACTTGATGATCTTGAAATTATTCGTATGAAGAAAAAAAAAAGAATCAAATGAAAAATGTAAATAAACAATTTTTTCCCCTGCCATTCCACACCGCACTACACCAATACACCACATTAACAATTTATTGATTCGATGATCTCGATTTTTGGCGGCAACATTTAACAAGTGTTTTGTCTTTTTTGTTAGTTGCAATTCACTTTCCAAGACTCTTGACTGTTCCGCAATTATGTACGACTTGGATCAAGTACCTTCTTTACAACTTTGAACTAACCAAATGATCATTTAGTTGTTTGACATAATTATCTCAAGTTTTTGACGGAAAATAAACAAGTGATTTAAAGTGGGCCGAGTGTTAGCATAAGGCTGTTAGACTCACCTTTGATAAACAATTACTTTTCAAATACTATTCTCTCATTCGAATTTGAATGGCTGTGTCTGTTACATGAATGATACGTCTTGTTTCCAAAGTCTTCAAATATAGATAGTATTCATAGATTTACATACAACGCAAGCTAAATGTACGACGATAAAATGTATAAATTATCTAATTTATCGATGGAAACAGTTGCAAAAAAGAACTGTGCATACTTACTCTTGAAAAATTAGCAATCGTACTTTTTTCGGCTTCTTTTGGCCTGATTTTATTTTTCTTCCTCTCAAAAAAACTTGTTGACGATTTTGTCGCAAACTTTTTTTTTATTCAGAGTTCAGGAGAAAAAAAACCTAGTCCTCACGCGTCTCCACTGCGCAACTGTTTCAGTGATTCTATTTTCAAACTGAGTATTTTATATGAATCGTGTACACGACGGGTAGAAAGATCAACGAAAACAAATATTCCTATTCATTGTGCGCGACACATGTTTCGATCATTTTTCGCATATGGATGACTGGACTGACTACATATCATGTAAATCAAGTGACGAAAAAATACACACTGATAAGAATCAAATCTATGCGCGACTGATCGAGACTTTAGCGTCAAATGGATCGGTCAATCACGTAACATCAAATTATGTGACATCATTGATGTGTAAACATTTTAAATTTAAAAAAAAATTAAAAACCTTTTGAATTGTGGTCTTTTCATTCAAATGGGCCAAATTTGGTCATGGGTTTTTATTGAGTTCAATTGCAGAAAGTTAAGATTGCCTCTTGAACTACATTTATTATTCGATCATATTTAAAAAAAAAAACGTGGTCTTGCTTGTTGTTCCATTTACAACGTGTTTCTTTTTACATGACGTCGGATATACTCATATATCATTTTTTTTTTCAAGGGACAAAACGTTTGAACGTTTGAACTTTATTAAATCGTAAATTTTTTTAATATCAGCACATCTCAAGTAAATTAAGACAAAAGAATATATATATATAGAAACAAGATTGTTTGCGTTTATCTCTCGGTCACGTTTCGGATTTACAATTTACAATAAATCACATATCGTTGAAGATCAGGAAATGAATATGTGGTCAGTTTTAAGAGATCGCGTTCAGGTAACAAGTGTTTATCGGACGTGCGTTGACTATTTTTCCATAAAATTAGGTAGAAAATGAACAAATTGGAAATGCGATTGTTTAACGAACAAAAATTGTAAATAACTAAGAATTCATGGCATTTCATGAACAATTATAAAAAATGTTCTTTTTAACACTTTTTTTGCGAATTAAAAATCCATAAAAAATAAAAACATACAAAATGTGAATAATTATATACAATATACATATTTAAATTCCGAAAGGATCAATAAAATCCGAAAATTGCGAGACACATCGTATATACTCGGATAGTGATTTTTATCCAATAAAACTTCAATTTTATGATGTAAACAATAAAATATATTATCTTCCATTTTTGCTGCAAGCAATTGCTTCGGTTAACTTCACAAGCCGCAATGAAGTGAATTATTGTACAAATGTGAATCACAAATGTATTTTGTTGAGCTATAGCATGGGATATATTTGAGTTTTAACAGATTAGAATTTCAAAATTTAAAAAAGTCCAATCGTTCCAACTAATGTTAGAAAGCAGGTCATGATTTGGCTCAAAAATTCTTTTCGCAGTTAGCAAACAGTATGGAACTATTGCAGATTTTAATATCGATCATACGTTTCATTGTATCCGTTTGCCATGATTTGATGTATTCATGGATCCAATATCGAGTTAAATCAATATATAAATATGGTGTCCCTGGACTGAAAAAAATAAAAACGAATTAAATTCAGAGTGTGAAATCGCACTTGTGAAGAACACGCCTGCTTAGCGAGCGCAGCGCCTCAGAAGAGCGTAGTGTACTTGTCAGGAGCCGCTCCTGAGTTCGTATTGGTATACATCACACACTAATACAAACAACGTTAGTCACACTAACACATTCATAGCTAGGAGCGGCTCCCAGCAAGCGCGCTCTTGACATATTCATGCTCTGCTTAAATTCCAGCGATAATTCAGTTAATAGTTTCATGATGTAATTAATACCTGTAGTCTTTGAATCCAATTCGAGGTATTGCTTCTTCGATCTGGGTGCCTGAAAGCCAATCATTGTAACTGGCAATGTTGATAAATTCTGCACCGATGGCAATTGCCGTACGCCAACCAACACCATAGTATTGACCATTTGTACGATGTCGTCGTCTGCTAACAGTCTTTGGTTGTTTTTCGTCATAGCCTGGTCCAACCGTCGGCAAAAAAATTAAATGAAATTTTTCGGCTGTTTTTTTCAATTCAGACCAATACTTCCATGTGGACGCATATGTGGCACCATTGCTCACCGAACGACTATAAAAACCATTGAAATTGGCCACCTTAATGAGAGATACGTCTTTTTTTGTGCTAAAAAATATCGATTTGAATTCAAATGATAGAAAATATTACATACAATGTTAATTCCGTTGGATTAATATATCATAAGTACCTAATATGGCCGATAAAAACTGCATCATGAAAACTATTTCGCAATGAAATTTCACCATCCGATGACAACAATTTCTTCCAATCGATTGATGTTTGACTTTCGACATTTTTTATGTAAAACATCGGTAAATAAGAATTTTTTGAACTGACAAATACTTTATATAGACTTCGGTGCTCCCAAAATTCATTGTAAAAATACTGAATATCATTGAAAATAGATGAAATTGTTCGATTGGGATAGGAATCAATTTCAATGGCGATCTGAATATCAAAATTTTGCGCTTGATCAAATAAATGCCTTAGCAATTCTTCTTGAACTGACGGCGACCAGGTTACAATCAAAACATTTGCTCCCGTCAGTTGGATATTTTTGAAATGATGTCTCAACGTTCGATTATCTGGTGCATATGTTCCGAGCAGTGGCCAAAATCCGGTTGTTTGTTGACTCCATTTTACCGGAATTGTATAGAAAATGTGGACATTGGAAGCTGAATGCCTTGGAAGATTTTTTGTTGCATTAACCAGAAGTATTGTATCATCATTTTGCAATCGATTCACTGTGAGACGTTTAATTTTGGCATGCGATGTATGCTCTCTATTCAATTTAATACGATCTCTTATAAATGTATTTTTCACAATATACTGATTAGAAATGTCTGCGCCGAGTTGATTACTTTTTTGATTTCCACGTGATGCTGGTTTCGGCCATGTGCTAAAAAATCCTTGGTTGAATTTTGTTACAGTTTCTCTTTCATCGTTTGGTAATGAATAGATTAAAAACACTACCACCGTTGAAAATGTGCCAATTATTACAAATAATCTCAATATTTTTATTCTTAAAATACATTTATCCAAGTTCATTCTCAAAACAATAAAAACTTTATTCATGGATTGGATGGATTCACTGGTATAAATCTAATGAAATAAATATATAAACTATTGATTTGCATTGCATTATTTTCAAATCAGGTTAAATTAAAAAATTTACAATCTTAAAACTTGAAACTTACTACATTTTAATTGGGCAATGGAAAGCCCCTGTGCTACAGCGTTGGGCATCTATTTATTTTATAATCGTCATTTTATTTTATTTTATTTTATTTTGTTGATTGCTCGAGTTTATCTTCTTTTTTTGACAAAATACAGCACAAAAGATAAGATTCTGCGCACAGTGCATGCGATTGAATGCTGTGAACGTGCTCACATTTTTTTAACTGGACATTGTTATTATATATGACAATGAAAAAGAAAACCATGTTTAAATTTTCGTTGAATTTGAATTCAATAAGAATCTTTATTAACAAAAAAATATATCATATTTTTCAATCATTTGTATTGTTTGTGTTTTTACTTAACATACACTTTCCAAATAGACAGTTTACTGTCATCAGCACAACAAATGTATGGCAGTCGAGAATGCCAACTCAATCCGCCATAAAGTTTTAGCGATGCAACAAGGATGGGTAATTCAGTTTTTTCTGATTTTATGTGAGCCACGACAAGAGTAACCGCGGGCCGACCTACTGATGCCACAACTTGCTGTGCATTCGGTGAATATTTAATGGTGAGACCACCGTCTTCGTGCAGTGTTTTTGTTTCCATGGCTCGACTGAAAAAAGAAAGTATATTGCGTTTATTTTACTTTCATTATTATTGAAAATATTCAACTACTCACTATGGACATCTCAAGTCGAAAACGCTTGCTTCACCAGCCGCAATTGATGTAACCAAAAATTGATTTCGTAAATTCCAATCAGCTCCCATCAATGGCGATTTATTTGTTTCGATTGAATTTACAGCATTTTGATTTTCAATATTGAATATTACTATAGTTCCACGCTTTTCAGCAACAAGCACTTTATCTGGATTTTCTGGATGAAAACAAACGGTGATTCCGGGTGATTTTAATCTAAATTATAAAATAAGAAACAATTGTCAATTGTTTTTTTTTTTTTCATTTTGAGTAGTTACTGTTAACTTAGGTCTATTTGAAAACAACACATCAGTGAATACAACAGTATTTTGACCCACCTAAAAATAATTTCACTTTTGAAGTCATCATTTTGACTACGAATCTGACATGAATGGTCATCGCTCACTGAAGCTAAATATTTTCCAGACAAATCCCATGCAACATCGTTAACATAGCTTGTGTGTCGATTGACTTCCTGGACAGTATCATTGTCGTCTAAATTAGAACGAAATATTCGAACAATAAAATCAGCGCCCGCCGTACAGAATTTTATTGTTGGTTTGGGCAACATTGATAATGAAGTTTCTGGTGAAAATGCAATCGCATGACTACGAGTGTCTTGGTCCAATTCACGCAATCGTTCCCAAGTGAATTCTTCATTGTTGTTATCTTCCTAATATTTTGAAATTAAAAAAATCCATTGTATATTTGTATTCACAATATATACATAAATAATACATACTGGAAAATGGAGTAAGCCGATCACAATTTTATTTACAAGAGCGGCAACAAACAGATTCGATGATGCTTCGTATGGTGAAATTTTAAAGCAATAAATCTGTTTATTTAATGGAATTACAAAATTTGGTGGAGTCAACGATGTATGCATTTTGAATGTATATACACTGTATTGAATTGAAAATCACACTCTACGAATGTAAAAAAAAATAATTAAAAATAGTGACAATCAAATACGAAGAAAATTTTAAATGCGAACTGATGTTAATTGTTTGCGGCAAATGTTGTGACAGTTGATTCGTAGGTTGATTTGATGTGTATTCAAACATTTCGAATCACCAAACGCACTCATTCAAAAGCACATAGAGTATAATATGGATTCATTCAATGCTATGAGCGTGTGCATTTTCTATTTATTTAAATAATAATTAATTAACAATACACCCAGAATGACAACATATCAAATCATTTGAATGTTCATAAAATAGTTGGATTTTCCACAATCACTTTCGTCTATTTCTAATGAACGAAAAAAGCAATATATTCAGTTCAGAGAGTGGCCGGTTGTTTTATACGTGCTCACATCTTTTGAATTTGATGGAATTTTATGTCGCAAAACCAACTTAACCACAAAACAACATTAGATGTGTGTGATTATTGTTGTTGCTATTTGGTTATTTTCCTTCCGTTCGTTTCCATTTTGACACAACGAAAGAAAGAGACGAAAGACGTATACACCTATGTTTGTAACGAATATATACATTTCATATATGAAATGACACACAAACACATACGAATAGAAGTGACAATAGCAGTACGAGAGCGAGCTGAGAGAGCACATGAAGAAAGAGAAAAACGAAGTAAGACAACCACAGCGACAACAACAGAAAAAAAAGGGAATAGGACAAGAATACAAAAACACCGACAAGAAGCAAAATTCACGAGAAAAAATGTATGCGCGTTCAAGTATGTGTGCGATTGAACAAAAATATGGCACATCAAAACGTTGCTATTAGATTCCAAAGCGATAATTTAAAAAAAAAATAATTCAACGTCAATCTAAACCTATTTTTCCACATCAAAATCAAGGAATAGACAATAGAAAATGTTTTGAGTGTAAACTAGTGAGAGAAGAAACAAAAAACAACATAAATAAACGCTCAGCGATAAAAAAATATTTTGTTTGAGTGATTGAAAAGATCTTTTAATTTCGTTTATAATTTCTTATAAAAATTCTCTATGAAGTTTCCGAACATTGATTTTGTGATATAAAAGTTAGATAGATTGTCATTAAACAAAAATATAAATTGTGTAGTGTGTTTTTTTTTGTATACGATTTCCAAAGCAATGTGCTTTTGCCAAGCCATTTATCTCAAGCAAGAAACAAGAGAGAAACACCGCAACAACGACATGCTTTAAAATGACATTGTGCAAAACACGATCCCATTTGCAAAACGCTTTAACATTGCAATAAAAAAAACACAACAAATTCGCTCTTGTGAAATCGAAAGTTATAACTTCGATCAACCAGAATTCATTAGAATTTATGAAAAGATCCATTTTGTTTATGAAACAGTCTATTTGAAGAAATAAAGTTCATCTATAAATCCAAAATAGGTAAAATGACAATTCAATTTAATATCACTGTATTTTACAGTAGTTAATTCATAGATTGTTGTTGTTAGCAATAAAAGTATAATGCAATTTGGTCATCATTTTTATTCTCTTATATGTTCTTATAATATTGCATCATTTATTCAATATTGTTTGTTTTAAAAGTGTTGCATGAATGTTTTTGAAACAGAATCTCAATAAATTAATTGAATAATATTCCGACGGGTGATGTTATGCGTATTTGTTTAATGTATTCGATTTGAGTGCTTCAAAGTCAAAGTTAACTATTTTATTGGCATAATAATTCTCCGAAATTTTGCCGACAATGTCACTTTTTTGCTATTTTTCATTTTAAATTCTTTCTTTTGTCGAAAATCAAAGTACACGGATTTAAAATCTGACTACACATGTTCATGATTCTTAGTGCACTTTCAGAGATGAATTTACTGTTATAAGATTTTTAAAAGTTAGTCTTAAGATTTGTACAAACAAACTGGCGAAAAAACATTTGCAAAATTTTCTAACCTCACTTACCATATTGCATTTTACATTATTCAGTTCATCATCCAGATGATGCAAAAAAAAACTTATTAGTTTATTGCCCGTGATTTTAGCTTATAATTGTTTTTAAATAGACTATAAGTTTAAGAAAAAAGATGAGAAAACATCACATTTAATCAATTTTTTAATCAATTTCTGTGTCTTTTTTTAAATTATTATCGAGTAGACACAAACAAATTCAACACGTAATTGGACTCAAATTTCATGAAGAAAAGAAGAAAGAAAGAGACAATAAGTGCGAATAATCAATAGATTAATCTAAGAGTGCGTGACCAAAATGGAAATGCAAAATGATGTGATACGATTGGCCGGCGAGCTTGCTGTCGCAGTTGAAGTGATCATGAGCCCAAATGTATCACAGCAAGCGCGAATGGATGCCTACGTTGCTTGTGAGAAGTAAGTTTTTGCGCCTTTTTCTATTTTAAATGTTCAATCAAATGTCAAAAATCGCGTACAAATTGCTAATTTGTAATCTTATAATATAATATAATATATTTAATAGATTCAAGGACATGTCACCATTTTGTGCACAAGCTGGTTTGTATTTGGCCAGTGGTCCGTTCAGCGCAACAGTTCGACATTTTGGTTTGCAATTGATGGAAAACACCGTAAAATTTAAATGGAATTGCATTTCGCAAGAGGAAAAGATTTTTATCAAGGTAAATAGCAGTTTACTTATTGGCTAAAGAAATTGAATAAAATGGGTAAAAAATAGTAGCCGTTATTATTATTAATTTGATTATTCTTTCTAAAGGAAAATTCCATGAAATTGTTAAGTTTGGGTGTTGGTCCGGCTGAAGACTCAACAATATCACACATGAAAGATGCATTATCACGCATCATTGTTGAGATGATCAAAAGGGAATGGCCACAACAATGGACAACATTATTAGCTGAGTTGTCTGATGCGTGTACGAAAGGTGAATCACAAACCGAATTAGTTTTGATGATATTCTTGCGTTTGGTTGAGGATGTCGCATTACTGCAAACTATCGAATCGAATCAACGACGAAAAGATATTTACCAAGCGCTTACCGTGAATATGACAGAAATTTTTAGTTTTTTCCGACGTTTAATCGAATTGCATGTGAATGCTTTTCGAAGTACAACTTCGGTGGGCGATCAAAAATCTCGTGCTCATAGTCGTGTTGTACAAGTTGTCTTACTAACACTTACTGGATTCGTTGAATGGGTTTCCATTGTACATGTAATGGCTCAAGAGGGCCGCCTTTTACATATTTTATGTATTTTATTGAATGACATTGCATTCCAAATACCCGCTGCTGAATGTTTGGCAATTATTGTAAATCGAAAGGGACAGGTGAAAGATCGGCGACCATTGGCACTACTTTTCACCAAAGATGCAATCGAATACATTTATCGTGCAGCTAGTACATCTACCGGTATACCTCCGGATCATTATTATGCATTTTTGAAGAAATTGGTTGCTGTTGTGTCCGGTCTCACATCACAACTGGTTACATTGTGGGGCAAAGAGGAGACGCCAGTTATTCAACCTGCACAGTTTTCAACATTTTTGGAAATCGTTTTCACACTCGCTAGACATCCCAGTCTCACCATCAGTCATGGTGCTACACTTATATGGAATATACTATTGAAACACGATCAAATTTCCAAAGATCCAATTTTTTTTGAATACATACCCAAAGTAATTGAAGTCATTGGACCAAAAGTATTGAAGGTAAGATAGCAGACAGGTTTTTTTGAATTATAATTCATTTCGTTACAATGTGCATCTCTCATCATAGGTACAATATCCAACAGCACGAACATTACAGATTTCAGATTCGCCACAGTCATTTGCATGTATCGACTATGACAGCGAAGAGGAGTTTGCAATGTTCTTCTATCGTTGTCGAACTGATATACTGGAAGTTTTCCGTCAGTCCACATTGATTTCACCATTGGTTACATTTGCCTATTGCGATCATTGGATTCGACTGCGATTACAAAAAGCGTCAAACGAACAGAATACTACGTAAGTTTTTATATTGTCAGTTGTGAAAATGAGTGAAAAAGGTCGTTAAATTAATCAATTTGGATAAGAGTAGAATGAAAACCGCCATTTGACCTTAATAACCTCATCTTCATTTGATTTGACCGCATATTTTTTTGTGTGTACCCTTCTAAATTTTTCATAAAATTTTGAAATTTTCCTCCTCCTGTATTTCCAACTTCAGAAACCATGATAAAAATCTAAAGATTTAATTCAACGCTCGAAAATTTAATTACAGGTGCAGTGTTCAAGATCCAGCCTATTTGGAGTGGGAAGCAATTTCCGTCGTTTTGGATAGCGTATTAAGTCGAATTTTAATGGTAAACGAATGGAAAATTATATGTTTGCGATTATTTTCCGATTATTTGTCGATTGTTTTAAATTAATTCTTTTTTTTGTGATTCTCCCCTTAGGTAAACGAACGTCCGTCTGTACAATCTGGTTTACTTATACTCGAGGAGTGTTTGCGAATTGAATCCCGTGATCCATTGATTCTATCCATAGTTTTAACGTGCATTTCATCATTATTTGTGTTTTTAAGTATGTCATCTTGCCAAATAACGGCTGGAAATTGCATTGCCATGAGTGGTGTATCATTGTTGCCACGTGTTTTAGAAAAAATCTTCGCTTGTGTCATATTCCAAGAACCAACGCAGCCCATTGCCACAAAGAATCTGCGTCGGCATTCTGGTTCATTACTTGTTAAGCTCAGTATAAAATATCCATTGCTTTTGCTGCCTGTATTTGATCAAATCAATTCAACAATTAAGAATTTAGTGGCACAACAGAGTTCATTGAGTAAACTGGAGCAAAATCTATTGCAAGAGGCATTATTAGTCATTTCAAATAATTTTGGTGATTATGAACGTCAACATTTGTATGTCAGTGAGATAATTATGCAGAGCAATTCACTGTGGTCATCAACAGCAGCCGCTTTTGGTTCTGCACGTGAATTTATGCGATTTATCGGTATCGATAAGTCACCGGTAGCCGATGCTCAATTGGATCCAAATTGGTTGAATCGAACAAATTTAATGCATGCCCTAAATACGGTGCTTGGCGTTGTTAAACGTTGTTCATGGCCAGATGATCCGGATCGTGCATCACGAGGTGGTTTCGTCATTGGATTCACCGAATCAGGAAATCCAATATATCGAAATCCAGCCACACCACATGTTGTCCCAATTCTTCCGAAAATTTTATGCTTGGCACGCATCTTCAATGATTTGTATAGCGCAGAAGTTTCAAGTCATTTGGCCGAAGGATTTAAGCATATCAATAATATGCTCGATCAAGAAAAGAAGAATTTAATGGGTTTTCCACCGGTTTTAGTCGATCCAATGGATCCAAGTCAAACGAAAGAGCAAACAACCGTTTCAAAGCTACAAACATATATGCAAACATTATTTGATAACTGTTATCATTTATTGGGTTCTGCGGGTCCATCATTAGGCCGTGATCTATACGAATTACCGGGAATTGGTACGGCATTAGTAAATAGTGTCTTTTCCAATTTGATGAATGTGCCCGATCACCGACTCCGAACAATAATTCGTGTATTTCTTAAGCCATTTATCTACTCTTGTCCACCAGCGCTTTATGACTCTGTCATTATGGATGTTTTGAAACACGTTCTACCATTGAGTAAGTAATATTTGCAATAATCATTATATCATCACATTTTTTCATTTTGGTTTTCTTTTGTCCCGTCGATTAGTGCTGAATCGCTTAACTGCACGATGGCAATACATCACAGCTCTGTACGAATCTGGTGAATTGGGCGAAGACATCAATGACACACAAGAAGTTGTTGAAGATATGCTGAATCGTACATTGACTAGGGAGTATTTGGATGTGCTGAAAGTTGCTTTGGTTGGTGCCTCAATCACATCGACAAGTATTGAACGTGACAGCTCCTCCGGTGCATTAGATATGGATCAAGATGATCATTCAATGGATATTCCAACACAAACTACTCGTGCAACACAATCCGCGCTCGCTTCAGAGGTGATTAGTGATTTGGGTGCAAAACTTTTAAGAGATAAAGGCACATGTGATTCAATTTGCTTAACGATTTTAAGGTAAGAAATTCAATTTTCAGTAGCAGTTCAAGGAAGACAGAAGAAGAAAAAAAAATTAAATCAATCTTCAGTTTAAAAGATATATAAAAAATAACCATTTATTTTATAGTGCTATGGCATGGAATGATACATCGTGTAGTTTTAAAGCTGTTCTATTGACCGGACCTATTGTAAGATTCTTATCGAGCGAGGATCTTTTAACACATTCACTAGCGTCACAAGTGTTGATGGCAGTTTTGCAAGGATTGCATATTCACGGACAGCACGAAGCAAATCAGGTAAAATCCTCTTTCTATGTAATGATCAGAGTGGAGTAAAATTATTGTTTTCATAATGATGGGATAATTCTGATTTTTTTCTTTTTAAATAGGCAACATTGATAACACTTGGTGTTCAGGTATACGAAATTATGCGTCCAAAATTTCCTCACATTGTTGAAATAATGCAGCAAATACCAAACACAAATGTGGCCGACATTCAAAAATTGGACGAAAAAATTCTGGTCGGTGCCCAAAGCAAAGGCAAAATTGATAAATACAAGAAAGATCTATTCAAAAAAGTCACAGCACAGGTAAACATATATGTTAATTAGAAAAAAGAAAATATTCTAATTCACCATGAGAATGTTGAGTAATATATTTTAATTTTATTTTTCAACATCTACGCAGTTAATCGGCAAAAATATAGGACAATTGTTTCGAAAGGAGGCTTTCATCGCTAATCTTCGACCAATGACAAACCAATTGATAAATTCAACACCGTACACTAGCCTTTTAGATAGCAATAATCAAGAAACCAATATCGTTTCCCAATTGTTTTCAACAAATAGTTAGTAAATTGTGAATTGATACAAATTCTATGGGCCGACCAATATCACCAAATAAGATGAAAACACAATTTGGCAACACATGAATCTATTTTAATTTTTTTGTTAAGTTTTTCATTTTGCGTTGTGTATTTTATCTGTTTATTTGTTGCAAATCATGTGAACTTTATTATTGTTCTTTCATTTGCTTAATTTATTTAACTTTGATCGTTATTATTCCGTTTGAATTCCATTTCGAACGGTCGCCTTTCGTCAGATCGATAGTCCAAAAAAAGGTTATCATAGAACATTCATACATAAATTATGGATTATGTATGGTTATAATTTTCTTAATTTAAATTTTCGAAAATCGCAAAAAGTCCATCAAAAGAATTATATTTGCTGTTGGTTGGCCTATATGGCTGTTGGTTGGCTTCTATAGAAGTATATTTTAAGACTTTATATGATTGTTTAAGCGCAGAAAAAAATCAAATCCATCGAATAATTTATGAAAAAAAAGATGATTAAAATGTAATTCGATATTTTGATATTCATCTTCCGTTACTACTATTCATTCAGATATCTTGTATATTGCGCATTACAAGTTTTTAGTACTTTTACACACAAAAAAAACAGTTTCAAAAAATATAAATTAAATATATTATTATTAAAATGCGCCGTGTAAAATATTCAAATAAACAGATTTTCAAATTGTAAAATAATCGACTAATGTCATTCACATTGCAAGTTAAAAAGAATATTTTGAAATAAGAAATGTGCAGATAATGATGATGATATCATATCATCTCTTGAGTTTGGATTAATTGAAAACTTTACAGACTATACCCAGAAAACAAATTTGTAATGTTTTTAGTACATTCTAACGTTGAAAAATGTAAAGTTTTGGCCCATTCTGGTGGTAATTTTCGTGTCAAATGGAACGGAGATTATATGCATAGTTCCCACGAATTCCAATGGAATGGATCCACTTGTTTCTTCCACTTCCAGTAATATTTCATTTGACAACATAATGTGAACACAACCCAATACATTAAGTTTTAAATTGAAAATCTAAATCTTACGCTCAAATAAAAAAATAAACAATTTATTCGGAAAGAGATTTGCATAATTTAATTTAAAACTCTGCAGAAGAACTCTTTTATACGTCATTTATTGCATTTAATTTTCTTTATTTGTGGAATTATTATTTTGAATTTTCGAAATGCAACTGACATCTTTCTGACATTTTTCGATTGGTATATGTGTCAAACCAAATGCAACGATATTCATTTATATGTATTAAAAATGTGCTCGCATCGTGTGACAGTATTGTTAGTATAAACAACTTCCATCACTTTGAAACTACAATCGCACCAACCGATTTTGTTTACAATAAAACTTTGTTTTGTTTTTAAGAGGATTTCTTGAGAATTAGATGTGAGTGTTTGTAGCGTGGTTTGGGCGATCAATTGATTTTATTGTCATTTCAATTTCAACGATTTTGTGTGTTCGGAACGCTGTTCGCTGAGGAATGGATATATTCACAGTTGGTTTTGTGTTCATTTTTGTTTTAATTTCGAAATAACAGAGTGTTGATAAAATTTACTGTGAATATTCCAACAACATTTCGATCGGGAAAATATTTGATGTCACATTGGAAATAAATTTCATCATTCGATTTAGAATACAGAGTCACTTTGTTGAGGTAAGACGTGATATTTATAATGCGTTCTTCATTACTGTTTCATTTGATTTGTGATAGAAGTGTTTTTATCTTATTGTGTTTGTGATCTATGCTATATTTGGTGCATTTTTTTCTAAATTTTTGTCTATTTTTTATTTTCGTTTATTTGTATCAGTTCTTCGAGAATGAAAAGAAAAAGAGATAACAACGATTCGCCGGTATACGATGACGAAAAAGAAGAAGAAAATAATTTCGTTGCAATAAAATGTGGATTGCAAACAATACTTCGACCCGAGCATGCAGCAGTTGTGACACAAATATTGTTTGAGCGCAGTCTTCAAATGACGGAAGTTGCCTCATTGGCCTCACTTTTGATTTTATTCAAGGTGAATGAAGCACTCGATAATGAAGATCGTCAGTTCTTTTTGCGACGGGATCGTCGACAGTTCTTCTTCGATTGCTTCAATGCGGTATTGGCCGAAAATGTTCACAATAATAATAGCCGAAATCCCATACCGCCAGAGTTTCGGTTCATGGTCGAAAACTTCAGTGATGAACAGTTCGAATGGCCAAGCAAGGAAAAGTTGAAGAATGGTTTTCGTTATTTTGTCAAACAGCACATCACAAATACAAAAACTGGTCTTACCACTTGGTGTGAAGATCGACTTGAGTCATTCTTTCGAATGCGATGCTGGTATCGCAATCACAACATCTATGGACCGAGATTTGATGGCATCGACATCAGAAATGCCAAAATGTTAGCATATCGATCCAACGACTTGACAAATGGTAATGTGGAAAGAATAGAAAAGGCCAACATTTTATTGGATGATCTGGTCGCAATTGGATGGCGACGCGAAAAATGCATGAAATTTTTTGTAAAAGATCATTGGTTTGAATCGTTGTGGTTGTTCGGACAAATTCAACGTCAAATAGCAGCTTATCACAGTGATGCCGCACAATGGAATACCATTCATGAAATATTCCGTAACAATCCGAACTTTCAACAGCCAACAAACAATCGCCCACGGAAAATAAACAGTTTTGCTCTTGTACCGTTATGCGATTATCATTTGAAGTGCGTGCGATTGGATATGAGAGATTTGTATAAAAAATTGGCAAGTAAGCTAAAAGTGGTGCCCAGATTCCTGAATACTGATACCAACCGGCTGAATAAATACCCCGAAAAATACTACAGAGATCATGATCGAGATGGACTATGGAATTTGTTGTTCGACGTCGATAAAATCAACCAATTGGGCAAACGATTCAAACAATTCCATCATCAAATCGTGACCAATAGTGTTTCCGTATCGGCACTGTACACAAAACCAGAGCGGGCTTGCAATGAAAACGTGCACACACATGCGGACAATCTTGTAGGCAAGAAATACGTTATTGGCATCGATCCGAATGAAAAAACGTGGTTGGCTATAACGCGTCGCAACATCCGGAAAACACCTGATGAACCGGCCGTTGAGGTGAGATATTTTGAAATCTAACTTGAATTTTTTTTGAATCGAAACTAATTGTTTATATGATTTTGAATTTATAAGGAAAACATCACAATACCAAACACGCGATTCTACTGGGAAACTCAACAGAAACGAAGAGAAAAAGAGGCGAAAAAATTAGCTGGATGGTTTGATATCGAGGAAAAGAATCATCTGAAGACATACCCATTCGGTCCACCATCACCGCGTAATTCAACATGGAAAGGGTACATTGAGTATCGCATCAAAATGCTACGGAAAGGAATGTCAGCATATGCTACGCGCAAATATTCACGACTGGATTTTGATCATTACATGAAGTCGAACCAAGTAAATGATAACATCGCCGTGACAGTGACCAACAACGAGCCGTCAATAATTATATTTGGTGCATCGGAGATGCCACCCAATCGGCCATTTGGTTTGAAGAGACGGAAAAGATGTCCAGGATCTCGGAAATTTTTGGTGAGCGTCAAAAAACTTGGCCATTCAGTGGTGAAAATGGAAGATGAATGGGGAACATCACAAACATGCGCAAATTGCCAAGAACGATTTCCAGCGAACACAAAACCCAAGGGGCAAATTACTACAAGAACTTAATTCATCTAGTACATAAAAAATTCAATTCAATTCAATATAATTCTATGTCAATACAATTTAGTTCCAACTAATTCATAATGTTCTAGTCCTGCACAAATTGTCAAGAGAACAGTCATATAGCAGCGCTACTACTGAAAACTCACATTTTTTTGTGTCTGTGTACATGATTGCTCGAATGAGTGAGCAAATGTATGGAATATGACAGTAGTTTCGAAAACAGCCATCGTATTCATCGTGAAACTATACAACACGATTCTAGTTTGTGACAAATCAGATTTGTGAATAATCCGTTTGGAGAAATACAAAAAATTTACATATTTAAATGTTATTGATTATCTTCCGAAATTGTAATTTTTCATCTTTAAATCAGTTAAAATTGATTTTTGTACTTTTGTGATAGCACACAGAACATGGCATACAAAAACAGCATACTAGATCAGTGCGAATTACTTGGAACTAAATTGAATTGACATAGAATTATATTGAATTGAATGGAATTATTTATGTATTAAATGAATTACGTTGTAATAGTAGTTTGCCCCTAGACAAAACCGCATCGATTCAAAGTGTGCTACGGTTGCAAAGCAAAACCGATTGCTGGACTACCGGACTCAGTCGCTAGTCTACCAGATGTAATTGTGGCAACGGTTAGCAAACGTGCTTTGCAAAAGGGACGGAAGGAAATTAAGCTTCGAATTCGCAATGGCAATTATCAGGATGTGGAGGAAATACTTCGGAATGAGCGTTTAATGTCAAAGGTTAAAGTTACCTACAAAAATTGGCCATTAAATGTTCAGGGTGATGTTGCTGCTCCACAGACAGTTGTTTGGCACCGCGATATTGTTGCTGCAAAATGTATTATGCTCAAAGGTATGAATCAATTGAAAATAGAGTCTATTCATTGTTTAATTTTTTTGCTTCTAATTACACAGGATTTTGTCGGATGTTTGGCGTACTAGTGCCTGATTCGTTGAGAAGACCACCAAACAATGTCAACTGACAAGCAGCAGCATTGAATCCATAAATTATCAAATAAAATAAATATTATAACGATTAGTTAGCTTAGCTAGGCTTGACATTTGTTTTACACAAATCTTGTGGCCTTGTTGTGCGTTCATAAGAACAGTACAACGGTAGTACGGAGGGAAGGAGCCCGTAGGTGAGTAAAGTTTTTAATTTAAAAAAAATGATATTTCATTATTTATTTATTTATTTATTTATTCACCGTCTGATCACAGACTGAATTTTCATATACGATTCAATTGATACTAATGATTGTCGTTTCTCTTTTCCATGTATTCACACCTGAATGTTACGCTATGGCAACCGTAAAAATAACTGAAACTACACACAAATTCGGGTCCAAATTTTACCGTGGATTTGTGCCTGGTAATGGGTGAATTTGTATTACAAATTGTTCATTGGGTCACTCTATAGAGTACAAGCAACGAAGTCATAAGTACGAGTATGATTTGGCCCTACTAGTTTAATAAAAACAAATACTCAAGAATGTGGCGTAATTCATTACAATCAATTTATGAACACCTGGCAACATCAAGACATGATTCTTATCACGAAATTTGTGTTTCTTAACAATTCATTCAATTTTATCAATAATCAACTTGTTGAAGGAAAAAAATTGGTTGAAAAAAAAAATAAACTGCCAAATTACTACAAAAAAAAATACAACAATCAATAATTGACTTGATTAGATAATATTCGATACCTTCTTTAAATAATGATTGCACGAAATGTGGTATTATAAATACTTTGCATCCAAAAAAAATTAATCATTGCCATTTCTTGAATCAACTAATTCCCCTCTGTTTTTGAGGGAAAAAAATACAGTAAAATGGCTTTTAGAGTGATTTGTATTCTTTTGGCCGTTACTTCTATCGCCTATGCTTCAGTATTTTCGCAATGTAAGTATCCAAACAATGTAAAATAAGTGAATTGTGCTTCTTTTTTTTAACTTGGTGTGATAAATTCGGTTTTTCAGGCGAACAAGACCCAGAAGCAGTTTCAGTTCATGTTGACAATTGCAATGACGAATACTGTGAAGTAAAACGTAGCACTCCAGCTAATATGGAACTTGCTTTCAGAACAGTCAAAGAGGCGACAAATTTGAGTTCGACTGTTAGAGCACAAGTTGCGGGAAAATGGTTTCCATGGCCCTTGGGTTCTGCATCCAAAGTATGCAATAATCTGAAAACAGGATCATGTCCAGTGCCAGCAAACACTGAAGCTACATACGGTTTTTCTATTAAAATCCCGATCATCGCACCAGTTGGAAGCAAACCCCTTATCGAAATTAAAATCACCGATCAAGACAAAACAGTTGTTGCATGTACTCGTTTTCCTGTTCTTGTTGTAGCTTAATGAAATATACTTAAATAAAATCAAAATTGCAATTGCATTTCAAAATAAATGGTTTTCATTTTCTGTAGAAAAGACCAGTGCACATTATTTTAGAAGCAGTGTTGAGTCGTTGCTGGTTCACTGAATCAAGACATGCTCAATTGCTCACACAACTCTATTTGAAATAAAATACATTCCATAAAAATTACTTTCAATTTTATTTTCCACAAAAATAGCATCACCTTTGTTATTTATAATAACTGAGTTAAAGCCATTGAATTTGTTCAGCCCACCTGAGTTAGGTGAAATTAATCTGAAAAAAAGGGTGTGTTTTGATGTTTTGAAATGAAAATTCAAGTTAATTGTTCTATAATTTAATTTTTTAATAATTTTATATGATAGAAATATCAGTTAATATTGCGATAATATCTATTTTGTTTGAATATGTCAACCACATTCAAATGATATAACAAAAACAAATTTGTTCGATTCTTAAGTTCGAATGCTTTAGAATTTATCTTTTGTTGTTGGGATTTCTAAGATGCTCAACACATTAATAAATAGAGCGATATGCAAATCGTAATTTACATTAGAGAAAAAAAAATTATATCAAAAGCGTTAAAACGCGAGGGCGATTAGCGTTCTTAAAAATGTAAATGTGCTTATGTGTTATATACGTTTTCATTGTTATCTATTTCTTTTTCTATTCTATTTTATCCCCTTAGTTTGCTTAGAAGCTTTATGACACAAAATCATGTGCGATTCAAAAGAGATTCTCAATGGATAAGGGGGCTTGTTTGCTAGATTTTTCAATGGAAAATTTATGATGCGTATGTCAAAAATTACACCAACATTAAAGAGTAAACGCATCACAACCGATGAAAATAATCAGGCGGAGTGATTTTGCCAAAATATTGTTGTTTCAATGTTTCTCATTCTCTCTCTGTGTATGTTATGCCCATTTTGTACGTGAATTTGTTTATAAGTGTATAACACTTTTTTGTTTTATTATAAATATTTCTCTAATATATTATTTTCCTTTTTATTTCTTTTTTCAACCGTTAAGCTAAATAGCATTCGAATTTAACTCAATTAATTCAATTAATTATTATTTTCATCATTTTCGAAATGACTGGTTTAGGAGCGTTTTCTCTCTCTCTCTCTTTCTCTCTCTTAAAATTGTCGATTAAATTGCTTAGGTATTTGTTTATAATTTATGATTATAGAGAAAACAAAAATTAAGAAAATAGTGAAGAATACTATTTTTATGAAGTTTGTTAGGCCTATTACAAGGGATTCTCTTTTTCTTTGTTGTATTTTGTTCTATTCAGAAAGCGTGTCAGTCGCTTGAATTTTATAGTTTATAAATTACGGCTTCATTTGATCGCTTTTTGATCATGCAGAAAAGTTTTAATTTAAAAATGCGTTCCGATTGTTAAATAAATAAAATGATGGATTTTGCGTATGAAGATTTTGGTGATGTTGCTGTTGTGATTGGACCAAATGGTTTATATTTGATGTATTTAATGTAGATAATGTTCGATTGGCAACAGCAACGGCTGAGCGTCGATGATTCTGTTGTTGGAGTTGATCTAGATACCAGATAAAAATATAATAATATATAAAAATTTAAATATGTTATGAAAAAAAAGCCGTTTGGCAACGGCCTTTTTTCATGTATCATTATATCAAATACCCGATGTTTGCTGTTGGCTTGCTGTTGACAACGGATGATAACAGAGCAAAAGTAAATCTCATTTGTCGATTAGTGTTTGATCCAGGCTGTTATTATTGGTTTGAGCCTGTTGTATGTGATGTTGCATGCGTTGATGCTGTTGCCTGTTTAATATTTTTGTTATCAAAAATTGAAGCTCTATAATGAATTTATACACTATTATCGTATACCTTATATATTGTCAATTGGACTTAAACTTTTCGATTGGATTAAATTTTCAGTATTATCTATTTGAAAGAATATTGTTTCAGTTTACTTACATTTGAATCAGTGCTGTTGCAACAACGTTCGGATTGACTGTTGTCATTAGGCCAGATGTGTTTGTATTTGGTGGCTGCTGAGCTGCATTCACATGTTTAAAAACACAATGAGGTTTTCGACATCCCCCTTTATTTTCCCAATAACATTGAATTTGATTTCTGTCAAATGCATCGGAAATCCAATTTATTTCCATTCAATTGTAAACTTTTTAAAAAAAAATAATTCGAAGATTAGTATCTTACCGTGCTTTTTCTATAACCATATGACGATCGGGACAATTTGGTTGAAAACATTGGTTTTCCGTCCATTTACTGCAAACACGTTCATGACCAAGAGCTAATGGCTCATGCCGATATCCGCAGCTCGATCCCTGTCCAAATCAAAAACCAATTGAAATCAAATAAAAATGTGCTGAATAGACAAGGTATTGCAAAAAAAGGAGAAACAATCATTACCTTTCGGCACACGGAATAGTAGTAAAAGTAACAATCTTGTAGATTTTTTGGCGATGACATAATGTCTGGTTGAACTTTTTTTTTATAAAAATTATCCAATTGCCTGCCATAAATAAAAAGAAACAACGGATATTTCTTTATTGAAATTTTTTGATCTTTGAATTGCCTTCATTTTGTTGTATCTAATATCACTGTAGTCAAATCACACAAATCATTAATATCATTCGCATCAAATAAACTGTTATCAAATGTGTGCAATAAATATAGGTGTTCACATTTTAATTCGTCGTCAAAACACACACATACATCAAATTCACACATTTATTCAAAAGTATGGTAATAAAAGTAAAAAAAAATTGTTGAAATAATCTGAAAGATAATATCGAAAACAATTACGGATTTTTGTCTAGATTTTATATTTCTGCGTGAAACTATTCAATTCGCCCAAACCCGAAATAAACCAAATAAATTAACCTTATTACTACTATACGGACATATGACTTTTTCTAATACAAACATTCACGTATCACAAGCACTTTGCTTGCGAAACGCACAGTATGTAACTATTGAAAGTTGGTACTGGTTCGAATGTATATGTGAATATATGAGATTATGCGCATTTCTCTATGTCTCTACTGTCGACACACATTTTATAACATGCACCAGCCTCTCATCACTTCATATGCACTGGTAAAAAACCAAAGAAAAAAAATTATATTTATGATTATTGCTATTATCTGAATATTTGAAAATATCGGCTGAAAAAATGTAGTTTTGAACAATGTATTAGTTCCTTGAGTGAAATAAATCTTTAAAACGATTGATATCCGCTCAAATTTTTCGTATTAAACAAATGATTTATTTTCCTTAATTACCATTGACCCATAATGAGTGGCATTTTCGATCAATTTTCTTTGATTGAACTCGAAAAACGGAAATTTTTTGAAAAAGATTTTTTGTAATTGAATGATTATGAAAATGAACTGAATTCAATGTTTAATATTTTGTTCGAAATCTCGGTGAGGATATTACAGTTATATGAGATTATTAGAAACTCAAACGGCGTCAAATTCAATTTGCTAACACAAGCATTGAAGTGCGTCATTATTCATTTTTCACCGAATTTCATATTTGAAATTATACCGTGCCTCAAAAATGTGGTTTAAAATGTGCTCGAATTTATCAGTAGTTGAAAATAGCTGTGAAGTTGAAGAGTTATCCATATAAATGCACTAGAGTGCTAGTGAGTCACAAACACATATATATATATATATAGATACATGCGCGGCTACATGTACAAGTGAAATAGGTCGTACATTTTTGGCAAAATTCACTGCGGGAATTTAACGTGCGATGATGTGTGTGTGTGGTTTTTCTACTGTCATTCAGTATTGTGCGGCATAAACCATTAAGAGAACGCAAAATAACATAATTTCGTAATTTTTTTTTTCAAAAAGAACACAATTTGCTAATGATTTCTTGTTTGAGCTAATCTTTTTATCTTTGTTTAAAATGCCCACAGTTCTGTCATTATAATTTTTTGGTTATTATGAAAATTAAAAATACATTTGCCATTTTTCAATTTAAATGATAAGTTGTTGTATATGAGTAATCGTTCTAAAAATGTGTTTGAATTATGCGCTGCAATAGACGTGTGCCAGTTGCCATTGTAATGAATGACAAATGTCAGTGATGCCAACTACAAACATTGAAAGTTGCTCTTTAGTAATTGTACTTTCAATTTGTGTGGTGTCATTTTTGTATTAATCAACATAATTAAATATTGTATTTTTCTTCTCTTTCTTTTATCAATACACATTGAACGTCATTTGAAACAAAGACATAGTCTAAATTTCAGATCCTAGACCACTTTTTTAATTCCTGAAAGAAAGTAAAGTTATTAGTTCTTTATAAATAAAAACAAACACCGCTTACATCAGAGTGTGAAAATAAGAAAATGTTTCGAAGTTCGAGTTTGGATAAAACATTGGGTATGTTTCGTTGATAATTGAATTTCGAATGAATCACTACAATAACAACAACAAAAACAGCAAAGTAATCTCTTGAATTGATTACACTTGAAAATGAATAAGTGAAATTCCAATTTAAGATGACCTTTATTCATTTACATATTGAATTGAGTATGGTTTAACTTGTTTCATATTTTTCATTTGTTTTTGTTTATTTGTTTTTTTTGTGTGCAGATGTAGCATGTTCGCATTTACGCTTGGAACCTGATTGGCCATCAATTCTCCTAATTTGCGACTTAATTCGACAAAATGATACGACGTAAGTAATTTGGATCGCTTCGAATTCGTATATCACATGCTCATAAATTGTATTTCAATTTGTTCCATGGTTTTTTTTCTCCTCTCAATAACAATTAGTCCAAAGTACGCAATTCAATCTATTAAAAAGAAATTGTTGTCACAAAATCCGCATACTGCCTATTATGCGTTACTGGTTCTAGAGAGCGTTGTGAAAAATTGTGGTGCACCCATTCATGACGAAATATCGACTCGGGAAAATTGTGAAATATTTACCCAACTCATTGAAAGTACACCGCATGAAAATGTAAAATCAAAAATGCTCGAACTTATTCAGGCTTGGGCGTATGCATTCCGAACAGTAGATAAATATCAGGCCGTTAAAGTAAGTGTTAATGTCAATACTAGTTCTTTTTTTTGATAATAAAGAACTCATTTTATGTATTCAGGACACGATGACAATTTTAAAAACTAAAGGTCATACATTTCCTGAGCTCAAAGAAGCTGATGCAATGTTTACCTCCGACACTGCACCAATATGGCACGATGGCAAGGTGTGTCATCGATGCCGTGTTGAATTTACATTTACGCAACGAAAACACCATTGTCGAAATTGTGGACAGGTATTTTGTGCACAATGTTCGGCTAAAAATTGTACTTTACCCAAATTTGGCATCGAAAAAGAGGTTAGTACACCAAAACAATTGCATAGCATAGAATAAAATAGACAACATATATCCGATGTTCTGTATTCAAGGTACGGGTGTGTGATGGTTGCTATGCAATGCTTCAAAAACCGAGCTCAGGTACATTAAAACGTGGCGAAGGTCCAAATGATTTACCAGCTGAATATTTGAACAGCTCATTGTCTCAACAATCACAAGTATGTACACAATTTGGAAATTTTGTGTGATATATTTAAACTAAATTTAACAAAATCTTGAAAAATAGACGCCAGTCCGTAAGACGGACCAGGAATTGAAGGAAGAAGAAGAACTCCAATTGGCTTTGGCACTTAGCCAATCAGAAGCTGAAATAAAAAATAAAAAGGTTCATTCTCATTGATTTGAATCTGTCTTGGCTAAAATTTAAAAATAACATTGATTTTTTTTCTTCTGCAGACAACCTCATATCGTATGTCAACGCGTAAAACGAGTAGTCCTGAAGTAGTAAATAATGTATCGCCGATAGCACCATATTTGGAACGTGATTCAAGTCCGATTTCGGCAACAACATTCGACGATCGAACAACCGACCCAGAGCTGGCAAAATACTTGAATCGTGATTACTGGGAACAACGTGGAAGTGCTTCAAATGGTCATCAACAATCAAACGATATACCGGCCAATCCAACGGCTCCAACTCCGACGGCCACACCCCAACCAAATACATTTAATCTTTCACTCAATTTAAACGTAATTGAACCGTTTTTCTCATCATTTTCATAAAAATTAAGAAAAATAAGAAAAATTATTTGGTTTTTGAATTTCCAGAATGCCAACGAAGATGCTGAAATTGAAAATTTTGCATCCAACTTGCGAACACAGGTGGAAATATTTGTAAATCGCATGAAATCAAACTCGAGTCGCGGCCGTAGCATTTCAACCGATAGTTCTGTGCAAAATCTATTTTTAAATTTGACCGCGTTTCATTCACGCTTACTGGATTACATAAAAAAAGCGGATGATAAACGAATGTGGTTTGAACAATTACAAGATAAACTGACACAAATTAAAGATTCGCGGGCTGCATTGGATGTATTGCGACAAGAGCATCAAGAAAAATTGCGTCAACAAGCCGAAGAACAAGAGCGACAACGTCAAATGCAAATGGCATACAAGTTGGAATTGATGCGAAAAAAGAAACAAGAATATTTGCAATATCAACGTCAATTGGCATTGCAACGCATTCAAGAACAAGAACGTGAAATGAAAATGCATCAAGATCAACAAAAGGTCATGTATAGTATGGGCGTTCAATTGCCATATTCATCACCGTACACTCAGCATCCACCAGGAACACTGCAGCAAGTAAGAGGCTTGCCAAATGAATCTTCTCCGGCCCACATGATCACACCAAACATCAATAATTATGCACCCGGTCCGACCGGTTCAATACCATTACCCGCATATTTACCACATTCAACTCCACAAATGGAACGATATTCCATTCCAACTCAACCGACGATGTATTCGGCTGTTGGTGGTCAACCGGCTCCAATACCTGGAATGCATACGGTACCATATCCGAATCAAATTGGTATTCCAAATTCTATTCCAAATATGGCTCCACCACCATCACAACCACAAGCAAATATAGGAATACCAAATCAAGCATTTCCATCATCACAAATGCCTCCTGTACATACTCAGCCACAAGGAATATCTGAGCAACCTATTCAATATGCACCACGTAAGTTTTCATCTTTTTAATTTTATTTATAAAATTTGAATTGCAACAGATTTACTGAGAAGATTTATTTTTAAATTTAGAACAACAACCAGAGCCACAGCAACCAATTACTACCCCTAATGTGCCTGCTCCGGTAATGATCTCCTATATTTAACAGTAGTTTTTATTACATTTTTTCATCTGCTCTCTTTAGGTAACAATAGCTGAAGAAAAGGAGCCCGTTCAAGAGAACAAATTAGTTCCTGAAGCTGAATTGATAAGCTTTGATTGAGCTAACCAAATGATCATAATTTAAATACAATCTGGAACTGTACGTGCATTAATGCAATCAAACAGAAAAAGTCTTTAAAAAAAAAATATTTCTTTCTGATGAAGTGATAAACTTAATGAAATTTCCTAGTGCGATAGGAGCTTATGTACTTTATATTAGTTAACATGAGTGGCGAATGATTCAAATGTCAACTATATTTATACTATTCAATTTCTCCGCACTTGTTTCTAAAAATATCCCATTTTACAGTTTATTGACTAACTAATTTATATTATTAACTATTATGTGACATGAACAAATAAAATTATGAATTATTATCCAGCTTAAATTTTAGTTATTCAAACGAAGAAAAGAAAAAACCAATGAGGAATATTCTTGTTTCCAATTTTTCGACAATGGATATTTTGCTGCAATAAGCACTTTCACCAGTGTCAAAATTGTAGTGTCGTTCGCTACAAAAGTGCAAACCAAATACATAAAATTGTTTGATTATTGAAAAGTTACTTCGAAAAAACAATTTCGTATAAATTTTGGATCAAAATAAGAAAATAAAATACAAATCGCAAGTGTTGTTGCGTATTTGTTGATATTTGTGTTTGCGATTTGTGTGTCATTTAGAAGCAAAAATTTCACGTGATGGTAAAAAAAAACATTATTTTTCTCATCCACTATTGTGTCTAACCGCAGTGCCCACCATTTGGGGTCAAATCCTACAAAGTCGATTTTTCACTTTTTCGGTCCGGAATCTTGCACCAAAATGTATGACCAACCATAGCTAATTTTTTGCGCACATTTCGTTTTTGCCATTGGGCACCCCCTCCCATCACCCCCATGGGGGGTCTCCATACAAAATTCACGAAAATTTCAAAAAGTACCTTCAAAATAAGCGCCAAACCCTATCCAAAACCAAAACTAATTACATATTCGGATTCCTTGAGAAAAACTTCCTTTAGATACCAAGCATTGTATTTTCTCAAAACCCCCCTTATCACTATTTTGGGGGTACTTATAAGCCACGTAAACCAACCAAAACATCGAAAGATTACAAACGTGACGAGTTCCTTGCCAACAAAAGTTTAGTCCGAAAAATGTGGCAGAAATATTTCGATAAATTTCTATAAATAAATCAATTTTTATAAGAACATATACAGAGATTATTAAAAATAAAAATGAAAAATTCTCCGGAATATCGAGCCCAAAATAAAGCTTGTCGAAAATTTTTCAAATCGCCATTTAATACATCTGTACACAGCAGAAGTTTTGAAACACAAAAAAAATACGTTTTTCTGTAAGTAGTAAAAATTCGAACAATTTTATTTGTCTTCGAAGAACATTTCATTTATTTTTGTGTACGTAACTAATATTAATCCACTCACGATTCTCATCTAATACATTTTCGGGAACATAATCAGTTTTTGAAGTCAATACTTTAATTGTTACATGAATGCGATGTTTAGCATAAAACAATGCTTCTTTAAAACCATTTAAATCACCACTCAACGTGTTTAAAATACATTTGAATTTTGAAAATGTGCCATGTTTTAAAAGACTTTTAATTAGTAATATTGAAAGTTTTCCATTATAATCCACATCGAATGTTTCTAAAGCAGTTTGGGTTCTAACTATATTCAAGAGTATTTTGCTAAAAGCAATTTTTACAAAACTATAATCATTTACTGTTAAATATTTGAGTGTATTTATTGTCTTCAAGTTTTTGTGTCGATGAACTACTTGCAACGGCTTGGGGCTAAGCCATATCGTCAATTTTTCTATCGGTATATTATTTTCAGCAAACATATTGATTAATTTCTCAATTAAAACATTTCCATCCACATCTATAGTGATATCTTTCAAGTTTCGCAATGAACACAAATATATTATGTTTTCATTCAAAATATTTGGAAATTCATAAAATTTTTGTGACATTGTATTGAATTCGATAAGATTTGGTGTAAACTTTGCAATGTCTTTTAAAATCAATGGCGACAAATGTGCACATTGTGACAAAGATATACGTTCCAAATGTGGATTTAACGATAAAAATTCAGAAACGATATTATTAGTTATTTCATTACTACAACTTATACCAAGTCTCTCCAATTTCGGCATTTTTCGCATGAACCAGATGCCATCTTCACTCATTTTAAATCTATTTATAGAAAACCATTTCAACGGCGAATCAAATCTTAAGTTTTTCGGCGTAGTATTAGATAAATGTAAGTTTTCCAAAACTTCAAATGATGTATGCTCAAAATTCGTATCCTGGTACCGGTAATATTTAATATCAAGTTCTTTCAATGTTTTAGCACAGTTTCTCACTATTGATTTTAATATGTTTTCTTCACGTTTCTGGTCGTTTTTGTCTAAGGAATGAAAACTCAGGCATTCGATCATAGGTCCAAAAATTTCAAGAAGAGCATTTGCTCGATTTAGGCAAATCCTCACTTTTTTAAAGCCGATATTGATGTCCAATGAAGAATATTTGGAACGAAAACATTCTTTCGCACTTTCTTGGAATCTTTTGCATACTTCAGCTGCATTTAGAAAATCTTCGATATTCTGTATGCGACGAAAAATTTCTACTATACAATCGTTATTTAAAACGTTTAAAATATGTTTTGTTGAGTCCTGTGTCGGTGGAATATCCATTATGGAATCGGAACTTTTTAAAATTATTGTTTGATATTATATTGTATTAATGTAAAGTGACAAATGAAAAAAACCAACAAAGCAAAGTTTTTCGAATGTCATTTAGACCTGAGATAATTTGCCATCTACCGTAAAAATATAAAAGTCAGCTTTGTATTTGTCAATTCAGTCGTTAAATGGTTGAAACTCAACTTTGTCAAACACATCGATTCAATTGTGGCTAAAGCGACATCAGCACATTTTTTTCACTTCAATTCAAGTATAAATGCATTTGATCGTTATGATACATTGTGGTTAACAAAATTGAATTTGGTGAATTTGGTTTAAAACTTCAATTTCAAAAAAAAAAATTGGATTTTGAAATATTTCACTCATCATTAACAGCTATTGTCAAATGAGTTTGTTTACATTCTCCGTGTATCTATCGTTTTTTTTGTTTTAAAAATATTTGTTGAGTTATTTTATCGTTGAAAACTGTCTTAAAATATAGATTTAAGCATTGTGTATTGAAAATAAATCGAGAACAGTGGAAAGAGCTAATATTTGTGGTAAAAAAAATAAAAATAATAAACAGTAGGTGTGGTCAGTGAATTGTACTGAATGATGGTGCACATATGCACTAGATCTGACTGTCCGCCGGTAAATGTGCAGGGGCCGAAGACCAAATGTGCCAAATTTAATAATGTGTGCTATTTGAAATGCTTTGGCATCGAAAAAAGTGAAAATTTGAATGAAAATTTCGAAACCGTGTCGATTCAATTGGGAGAAAGTACGGTTATGTATGCATTGTTGCCGTGTACCGTATTTGTGTGCTGTGAATCGCTGTCGCCTGAAGAATTGAAAGTAAAATTGAAAATGCCATCAAATCGTGGAAATTCGAAAACAAGGCAAGCCAAATCAACCGATTCAAAATCGAATACGGATAATTCAGCAGTTTTATCCGAACTCAACGAAATAAAAGGCATGATTTCGAAATTACAAAGTAAAACCGAAGATATTCACGAAGACACACAATTTATCGCAAAAAAGTCAATTGATCGCAATGTCACAGGGCAAAAGAAAACTGTTCCGAGCAATATTTCGTTGACCAACACACCGAAAACATCGTTTATGCATGGACCA